AGAATAGTTGTATCAGGTTTATATTTTGCATGAGAAAGTTTGATCATGTTACGCCTAAATATAAAGAATTATTATGGTTGAAAATGAATAGTTTAGTAGAATACCACCTTCTTCTATTTGTTCATAAATTGCTGATAACATCTAAGCCAAAGTATTTGGGGGATAAACTCGTTTTTAGGAGTGAACTTCACAATTGGAATGTTAGGCATGTATCAACACTCTCCATCCCTCAGCACAGGACCACTTTATTTCGGCGTAGTTTTTCTTTTAATGCCATCAAGCATTATAATAATATCTCATCAGCTTTTAAAATTCTTTCGGTAGACCTCTTTAAAAAGAAGATTAAGGATATGTTATTAGATACCTAGGCTATAATTTTTATATTGTATTTAGAGTGTTTTTTTCTGTTTTTTGTATTTTTACTTTGTTGTGTTTTTTTTTCTTATTTTGTATTTCTTTAAATTATTGTATTAAGTATAGTAGTTTAGGCTTTCGCGGCCATCGTTTGAAGAATTTTGGTTTTTCGGGTTATTAGGCCGTCGTCGGTTAGAATTGCTTCCTAACGTTTCGCTAGCACGAGTGGCTAGCATCTTCAGAGGTGTGTTTGCAATCGGAGCAAACACACCTCTGAAGATGCTAGCCACTCGTGCTAGCGAAACGTTAGGAAGCAATTCTAACCGACGACGGCCTAATAACCCGAAAAACCAAAATTCTTCATTGTATTAAGTAGTTTGCACTATTTTATATGTGGTGTATTATGGTTAGGTGTAAGAGTAGCTTAAGTTAAACCTCGCCATAATGCTCAAATCACAATAATGTAATAAGTCCAACTTTATTACAAATAAAGACCAGTTTATTATTATTATTATATACAGGGTGGTCCGATTTGTATTCCAGAAACTTCGGCAGCATATTCTGCAGATAAAAATAAGTAAAAAATTCGTATAAATGTATGTCCTAAAATGCTTAGTTTCGGAGATACAGGGTCTAGAAGTTTCATTTTTATTTCGATTTTTTCGAAATCATTTCTGAAGTAACGTCAATATTTGGATAAAAATTGGTGTCTTGGAGATTTTTGACATGAGAAATTTTATTTTGAGTCAATATGACTCCCATTTGTAGAGGGCGCCACCAACATGTGTTTTAACTGTTTTGAAGAGTAATAACTTTTCGTCCGAACCTGTATAAAACTACTGAGTGAAAACATATACATTTCCATGATTTTCTACCTAAAAAATGTCTCTTGGTAAAAATCGCCACGAGCAACATATAAGATATTTAGAATAGAAATAGTTAATACGTGTCATTATTGACAACAAAAAAGCATGTCGCGTCGAGTAGATAGTTATTTTATTGAAATTATAAATTTGGAAACTTTAATTTTTTAAATTAATCATAATTTTTTCTCCGAAAAAATAATCATAAAACAGTTTCTGTTCAATTTTTGGCACAGAATCATTTCAAATTTATAATTTCAGTCTAATAACTATTTAGTCATCGTATGTTTAATTTATGTCAATGAAGAGAAATATTAATAATTTCGATTCCAAATATCTCGAGAACCATAACTCATAGCGATTTTTACCAAGAGACCTTTTTTACGTAAAAAATATTTAAACAAAAACAAGAAACGGATAGATATGATGAATATCTAAAATAACAGGTTGAAACAATGCCATTACCAATAACAAAATAATTTATTATAGGTACGTTATTAATATTTAGAGTTAAAAATAGGTGCGCGGGCAGGTAACAGCGTTCGGCGGTGAAGTAGACGAATCAGATCATTTTACTTGGCGCGTGCGCACGAAAATCCTGTTGAACCAAAAGGATAGACTTATGCAAGATTGATATTCCTATTTCTTTTCTTTGGCTCACTTTTCACTCATTGTGCCAATGCGGTACTAGCAATATCACAGATTATGCAGATTATAAACTTATAGTTAAAAACATTGTTTTTCGTGGTTCCAATTTTCGGAGTCGCGCGCTAGTTAGGTTACTAGTTTGCGCACAAGCACGCCCACTTATGGTCTCTAAAATTGAGCACAACGCCTGACCGGCCTTGTGACCGGCCCAGTTATGACGCTGTTTCAATGGGAGTTTATTTTTGCGCACAAGAAAATTTACTCGTTTGCTCATCGTCATAAAAAACAATTTTCGTACCACGAATTAGGGACAAAATTTTTATCTGTATACTTACAGGATACCTAATCTGTGGCCAATATATTCTTATAATATATTTGCTCATGAGGTTCTTACCAGAGATTTAATTTTCAGCTACTGTCAGCACACTCAAGTTCTAGCAATTTGCGACTTTTTCGGAGACCAAACTTCCCAGTTACAATAGTTGAGACAAAAAAAAAGAGCAATATATTTGAAAGCCAGAAAAGCTTTCAAACTTATGTGAGATAGAATTTTGACTATAAAAAAAAATGTTGACTATAAACGTATATATGTTTGTATTTTTATGTTGCTGTAAAATTATGTCACAGAGCATCCTCATAGAGCAAATTTTACACTAGTCTTATAACTGTTGTATAATTTATGCCCTAAGAACGTTCTTGCAATAAGTTTAAAGAACAATTCAGTTCATGAAAACAAAATAGTCTCATATGCTCCATTAATACTGTAACGTTTTTAGTTCGTTACATGTCTTTTGTATATGATATATGATGTCTGGCGTATTGTCACCGGACTCCGTATCGTTCAGGCCTGATATTTTATTTGAAACGCTTGGCGTAATTTTTACGTTCTCTAGTCAACAACCCTGTTATCGTTTCACTGCTACTGTGGAGGTCACTTCTAGGGCTGTCAAGATCGTTTCAAGGCGCCTCTCTGCGCTTTATCCTCACTTTTAGTCACCTTCAGAGCCCGGCTTAGAGAAATGGTGATTATTGTTAACCCCCATTACTATTATCTTGCTGTATAATTTGAATCGGCTGCTATTTCGAAGCTACAGGTAAAGATGAGATATTATCTTTTGTAGATTCGATATTATTATTGAGTATTTTTAGGGTAGAGTTTTGGATTGGCTCAACTCAACTTGTATTTGGTGTTTGCTGGCACATTGGTTTTCTTTTGTCCTCCAGAATGTTAAATGGAAGAAAGGACAGTTTCTTTATTTATTATTGAGCCCTCGGAAGTGTTTCGAGGTAGGTTTATTTTGTTTATTAGACCTTGTTTGGTTTTAAACGAGAGTTTCGTGTTTTTAGGGTCCAAGGGACTGTGTCCCAGGTACGGGCATTATCCAAGGTCCTAGTAGTGTTCCAAGGTACGGGTAGTATTCCAAGGTACGGACAGTAGACTATAGTTGGATGCCCTATGTACGGGTAGTGACTCCTATGTATGGATGTCCTGTGGACGAGTCCCTACATGTCCCATGTAGGGATGGTTTATCTTATGTATAGAGTGCCCCAGCGTGGATGTAGCTTAAGCCCCATGGTGCTTCATTCCTATTTTTAAGCCTAGTCAGTAGTTACGGCTGTATTGGTTCATGGTGTCCTCATCCTGGCCCCTTTTATTGTATTGGCCAATAGCATAGCCGAGAGACAGTACAGAGATACGAGTCCCACCTTACTGTTACTGGTTGAAGCAACTTGTTCCTAAAGAACAAACAGCTAAGTGTAGATTTAAGTTCTGGTTTTACGTTTTACATTTAAAACATTTTCAGTCTTAACATAATAACGTACATCTTAAATAATATCGTACAGACTATGTTTAGTGGTTAGATCAGGGGTGGGCAAAAGCCGGCCCGCGGGCCGGATCCGGCCCTTTTGCTAATTTTATCCGGCCCGTTGAAAAATTCCGCACGCAAACTCTTTTATGAGATTTTGTTGACATCAGCATTATTAGTGTGCGTACTGTATATATAATAGGCTTAATAAAATGGGCGGTCGGCTAACTACACTAGTGTGGACGATGTCGCGATCTTGAAACAATCCTCGTGTGATTCTCACGTGGGTGGCTCACGACGATCGCTCTCAAGGTGGTTTTTTCGTTGAACACAAAGGAGATCGCGCTAGGTTCGAAATACATGTGTGGACGGCATATCAGTGGCGGATCTGGGGTGCTGTCATAGGTGAGGCGAAAATATAAAATACACATACCGATGTACATGCAAAGTAATTTGTTATTATATTCTTGTTAATATGAAACATAAAATAATAATACTATTTACAAATTTACATGAATTACCTAGGCCATCACCCATAATTAAAATAAGCACCTTTTTAAAATACCAACTCACATCATATTTTTCAATTTCCACCCGATTTTCACTCAAGATTTTAAAAACGAGATCGATGATATCGAACGGAAACAAAATTAAAACGAACCTAACCTAGAAATTCAGTCCTCTCAACCTGTCTAATAATGGGAACTAAGGTCTACGTTCAAATAAAAACTATCGAAATATTTGATTAGATAGTTAATCCAAATTATTTTACAATAGTATTTGACAGTAGTACATTATTTATATAGGTAATAAATTAATTTCTTTTAAATTATCGGAAAAATAAGAAAACTAACCGCTTGGTAATTTTAGAATGGAAAAATTTTTCGATATCGATAGTTCCCAATGTTCTCATTACTAGACCTGTTGTAATACATCGGTTCAATTCGGGTCTATTCAGCTAAAACCGATATCGCCTCATCCGGACGAATTTTGACCAACCAGCAAACGCCGATTTCCTTTTCCTTGCGGCTCACTCCCCGCAAACACCCAAGTTTAAGGAATCTTGAGACGAGAGAGATTTTAGCGGACCTTTGCATTTGCAACGAAAGGTATTCAGCACTCCTCTCACTTTTCGAGGGACGACAGGTCGCACCACGCGTATTGTTAATTTTGATTTAGTACTGATCGCATACTCTTTTTTGTTCGAGTCTAATATTAGTTTGCAAATATAAAATTGAAAAAAGTGGACTTTTTGTAAGTAAAATTTTAAAACACTGGTTTTATTTTATTGTATTAATTAAATTATAGGTTTGTAGACCTTTGTAAAATGAGTCAATCTAAAAAAAGAAAAGTTGATTTGGAATGCAGAATCTTCAATGAAGCTTGGACGGTAAAATATCTTTTTACAAACATAAATAAGAAAGCAATTTGTTTAGTTTGTCAGGAAACAATTGCTGTTTTTAAAGAATACAATTTAAACAGGCACTTTACAACAAAACATCCAAAATATGCATCACATTCTTTAAAAGAACTTCAAACTGTAGCAGAAAACTTAGCAAAAAACTTGAATAAGCAACAAAATATTTTTACCAAACAAAGTAATATAGAGAAATCTACCACAAAAGCAAGTTATGTTGTCGCACACAAAATTGCTAAGTTCTGTAAGCCGTTTTCTGAGGCAGAATTTGTTAAACAATGCATGGTACAAGTGTCGGAGATATGTTGTCCTGAAAAGAAACATATTTTTGAAAATGTAAGCCTTTCAAGAAGAACAATAGTACGACGGATTGAAAATATTTCAGGAAACTTACTTCACCAGCTAAGAACAAAAATTGCTGATTTTACCTATTGTTCTCTGGCTTTAGATGAGTCCTGCGATATTACTGATACAAGTCAATTATTAATATTTATTCGCGGCATTAACAAGAAATGTGAAATTAGCGAGGATCTTCTTAGTGTGCATCCAATGAAAGATACAACTACTGGTGAAGACTTCTTTCTCGCTGTTGAAGAGTGTTTAGTTAAAGTAAGTTTAACTTGGAATAAAATAGTAAGCGTCACTACGGATGGTTGTCCTAGTTTAACAGGGAAAAATGTAGGCTTACTTAAACGAATTCGCGACAAAGTAAAAGAGTTACAAACAGAACACGATATATTATTTTTTGCTGCATTATTCATCAAGAAGTGCTATGCAGAAAAGTTTTAAAATTGAATCACGTCGTTACTGTTGTGACCAAAGTTGTGAATTTTATCCGAGGACGTGCCGTAAACCATCGACAGTTTGTTGAATTTTTGAAAGAAATTGAAAGTGACTTCTACAAAATTCCTTATTACACTGAAGTGAGATGGCTTAGCATTGGTAAAGTTTTGGACAGATTTCAATATTTGCTTGATGAAATAGTATCCTTCTTGTCGATAAAAGAAAAACTACATGATTTTCATGAATTGCAAAATAGAGCTTGGCTAAACGATTTCTCATTTTCAGTAGATATCGTAAAATATTTGAATGAACTAAATATAAATCTACAGGGAAAAACCAATTCGCTTTCAATATGCACTCAAACGTCAAAGCATTTATGACAAAACTCAATTTATTTACTGAAAACTTTAATAATAAATTATTAAATCATTTCCCCTCATTGCAAGCACGGCGAGAATCATTGAAAAATACAGATTTTTTTAAATATAGTGCAATAACACAAGACCTGCATTCTGAATTCCAAAGAAGATTTCAAGATTTCAAAGCTATTGAAAAACCTTTATCATTAATTAGCCAACCTTTCAATTTCGATGTGCAAGAGGCTCCTGTTGAAATTCAACTAGAACTAATTGACTTACAATCAAATAATTTACTAAAAGAAAATTTTCACTCAAACGAATTGAGTGCTTTTTATGGCGCTTTGAATAACGAACATTTCAAACATTTTTTGAACTATGTTCAAAAATACCTTGTTTTATTTGGTTCGTCATATATTTGTGAAAGAACTTTTTCTTTAATGGTTTCCACGAAAAATAAATATCGATCACAAATTACTGACGAAAATCTACACTCGGTATTAAGGATTGCTACAAGTGATTTGGAACCCAATTTTGAAGAAATAATGTCAGATGAACATTCGAGATTTCACGTTTCGCATTAACTTTAAATATTTATTTTAACGTTTGATGTTTTGTTTTCTTTTTTTTTTAATTCTATTTACTATTATATTTACGAAATGCAATATAAATGTTAAATTGTAATAACTATGTGTCAATATAAAATAATTTGTATCGTTAAGACATAAATAAGTAACAAAGTAAAATGTTTCATTGACTGGTTTATCTAATAGCCATTTATTTATAAAAATATTTCTTTAAAAATTACGTGACATATTTTATTCAAATTGAAATGATACTTAGTGTTTTTGTCAAAAAAAAATTGGCAGGGAAAAAACTCCATCCAAAACATCCGCTTGTGCAAAGCATATGCGGTATAGTCCTCCGGCCCGGGGGACATTTTGAAAATTTCATTTTTGCCCGCGCTTTAAAATATTTGCCCACCCCTGGGTTAGATCATTAAGAACTTATTCATGTCGATTTAGTATTTAAAATATGATTTAGATCTTAGGTTTCATTACATTACGTCTTGTAATAGTATTACTTTCTATAGATATTATTATTGCGCTATTTTAACAGATGAATAACCAAACATAGATTCTAGAATCTACGGGTTGCAACATCTCAGATTTAATCAGATTTTAATCGTATGAAATATAACAAATTAAATAAAGTAGTGCTACCTTTCATATATTTTCTATAACTTTACATGTATTGTATTTTATCATAGCCGTTTTCATAGAACATATTAAATACTATTTTTAACACAACTTTCTTCGACATACAACCACTATAATTACTAGAATTCTACAATGTCATTTACTATCAATAGAGTCCATCATGAATAAATATGGTCATTAGTTTTAAGTAATATACAACTGTGTTTTCTTTCTCTGTTCATGCCTGGCGCCCAATATTTGTATTTTTGATTTATTATTGTTAGTTAGTTTCTTTCCAGTGAAATACCTTATCCACGACTGATCTACCAACGAAAAGCTGCCGTTCGCAGTGGTAATGTTTAAAAAAAACGTTATAATACAGTAATTTAGTGTCCTAGATACAACTATAAAACTTTAATCGGATATAAATGTTTTTAATAAAACATTTATAGAACAATTTTGTTAGCGGGATACAGCACATTATTTTTATCAAAATAAACTAGAATCGAGCTTATTAGACTGCTACAAATACACTGAGAGTCACACTGCTTCCAATTTGTGCGACGAGTTACAAAGAATTGTTCGTGATTGGCAGATAATAAACAAAATAGTAGCCGTGGTGATTGTCAATGCGGCAAACATGTTGCTGCGATTAGACAAACTGGGTGGAAACACATTCGGTGTTTCGCCCCATACAATAAATTTAATTGTGCAGTCTTCGCTAGATACCATAAAACCCATTAGACAAAAAGTAAAACTGATAGTGGACTTTTTTAGACGGAGTTCACGTGCTGCTGAGAAGTTGAAACAAATGCAAAAACAACTAGAAATGGCACAACTTAAAATTAAACAAGATGTAGTTACTACGTGGAACTCTACCTACGACATGTTTAGGCGAATTTTAGATATAAAAGAACCCTTAATGTACGTAATAGGAGTTCATTATCAAAATATCGATAATTTGACAAACAGTGACATTAATATTTTAGAAAAATGTTGCGAAGTTCTTAAAGTGTTTAAAGATGTGACCGAAGAAATAAGTTCGGAAAAGGAGGTAACAATATCAAAAGTTATTCTTTTTAGTGCAGCCTTGACCAAATTTTGCCATACATTTGTTAACGATAATCCCGACTTAACAGAAATGTGCCAAGTATTGGTGGCGTCTTTGCAGGCAAATATTCATAAGCGATTCAGTAATATACAGAAAAATAAAATATTTGCTGAATCTACCATTTTGGACCCAAGGTTCAAAAAGTATGACTTTTCAGATAAAACTGCTTTTGATAGCATCAAGCAACATTTAATTAATTATGTAAAAAGTTCTATTGCCGACATCAGAATGGAGAATACTGAAACTGAAGTAGTAAGCGAATCTGAAAAAAAAATCAGGGAACCCATCCATTCTATGGCAAGATTTTGATTTTGCTCTTTCCACAGTTGTTTCCAATTCAAACCCCATAGCGGCAGGCATCATTGAAGTGGTTCTTACCAAGACAAGAAGATCCGTTTATTTGGTGGGAAGAGCGAAAAAAAGTGTATCCTACGCTGTATACAAAGACTGAGACAAAGACTTTGCGTAGTAGCAACCTCAGTGCCTAGTGAAAGAATATTTTCGAATGCAGTCCAGACATTAACTTAAAAAAGAAGTAATCTTTATGGCAATAAAGTTTCGATGCTTATTTTTTTAAATGCAAATTTATAAAAATATTTTTGTTATGTTATTAATGTTATTTATATTTTTATATACCTATATGTGTAACATTTACTGTCCTTTTTACAGTTCCTTTTTTAAGTTTTTGTTTTTTACATCATTGAATACCTACGGGATACCTACTGATACTCTGTGCTAGCTCCCTACCGTGCTTACCTGTTCACTCCCAACCAAGTTAGATAAAAAAGATATTGAAGATTACAGCCTTAGTTGGAGTATGGCAAGGAGTATGGGCTCCACTACGACATGTACAGATTACCTAAACTGGTAAGCATGTAAAATTAAACCTTAATGAAAAATTGAACTTATTTATTTTTAGTTCAAGAAAAGGCATGAAAATCCACAACCCACCAAAGCAAAAACTGAAAACCAAACATGCTCATCATCAAAAGAAAAGACATATTACAACCATAAATAGAACGTAATGTAGAGTAGTTTTTATTAATTCTAGTAGGTATTTGAATTCCTTAAATATTTTAAAGGTGTGATAGTCACTACTGCAATTAAATTTATTTGGAAACTGATAAAAATTTCAAATATAGGCAAATTTAGGTACAAGTGTGCAGCAACCCACTGTGAAAATTGTTATTACTCACCCATTTTGGATCAAGAGTATAAAAACAAACATTTCTTTAGCTTTCCTTTTTCTTTTATAAGGCTAGTGTTTCTTTAATAATAAGAAAATATTATAATGATATTTACAAATCAAGACAATTAGGGAAAACTTATGAATTGAAAAGACTGAGGAAGGTGAAACACCTTTAAAATACCTATTATTTATGATAATTCAAAACCTAATTAGAGAGTGCTCCAAATTGACAAACAATCTGTATTTACCTGTAGTACCTACCTGTATTATTTGTTTTATAACCTGTAGTTCCTATATTTCGAAATTTTTAGACTTTTGAATTAAGACATATTTTACGTTATTAGATTTTATATATTATTTTAGTTTTATATTTTTTGTTTTATTTATTGTTGTTATTTTTTGTTTATTTATAGAATGTGTTTTTTCTGTTTATCCGTATCATTTTATTTCGTCAACCTGGGTTGACAAACGGTTCACCCACAGGTCAAGAAAAGCCTGTGGCAAAACATTAGTATGTATCGTTTCGTTTTTATTTGTTATTAACATTTTTAACAAAGATTTTAATTTATTTTGTGTTATGGGAATATGTTTTTTTCTTTTTATTGCTAGATATTTCTTGGAGTTAAATAAATTATTATGTTCCTACACAGTATTTTATCTATAGGTTTTAATGCTTTAAAATCTAATAATAAATTTTGGTTGTCAACAAAATAATCTAAAAAACTACGAAGACTTCTTATTATAAACTTGAAAGATTAAGATTCGGTTCAAATATACAAATTTTAAATTTTTGGCGCCAGTATATAGGTATGAATACAACCTACTATATCGATAATGCGCTCATAGTTCGGGTTAGACGCCAAAGGCCGCGCCACTAACACAGTCTTCAAAAATTAACGTTGATCGGTCTCTCTCACTTTAGTTATTATGTTATTAATTCTCTCTGGGCCATGCTTTCTGCCTGGGTAGGATCGCGCCAGAGCTGTTTCCAATTTTCCGGTTTACTGTAGTGATGTGAGAATACGTATTAAAATTTCGGTATAATCCGAATATTAAATTAATACGTAATATGCCGAATATTTTGTTTTAATACGGAATACGGATGATTTTTTGATTGTTGTATTAACAAATTACGATCGCAGAGTGATGCCGAATCCCAATACGGGTAATATGTTTTCTAAAATTATGTCCACTTGTCCACGGAACACGGAATAATACAAATCATCTCGAAAACGAAAATATCCACCAGGTGGCGGGTGGCGGTAAATTTAAATGTAATCGTTTTTTCATGAATATGTGTTGTGTTCACCTACTTGTCAAGAATAAAAATAAAGAAATTATATTATAATAGAACAATAGAACCATAGACCTTTTAAACGGTAGTTTATAATAACTCAATGAAGAGAACATACTTTTTTATTTGAAACAAAAACAACAAAAATACAACAAATACAAAATAATTAAAATTAACCTATTTAGTTAAAAAAAACAGCTAATTTATTGAAATAAGTAGAAACTGATAATTTTGTCATAAATTAAAAGAAATACCGAGTGTTTCTGGGGGTGGTTCCCCCTTGTAACTTTTTCATTCATAAATATAAAAAAACGAAATTTGGTACATAAGTATATTGCATAAAGATGGATTGTTTAACACATTCAGTTTTTTGTTATCACTTCCAGTTCAACCGGAAATGACCTCGATAGAATGACATTCTGCGTACCTCATTATTCACTTTTTGACCTTGAACCTTTTACCTTGGTGGTAAAAAATGACTCATAAATAGGGTTGTTCCGATACATATCGATACATTACATACCGATACTGTCAATTTTGTATCGATACTTTGTCTTTTTGATAATATCGATATATAAAAAAACTGATATATCGTTAAACGATACGCTATTTTATTTATTTCGAAAAAAAATGTAACATCAAATTTATGTCGTATTTGATTTAACAAAGATAAAGGAAATATTAAATATGTTTTTATAATTTTATTCCTACCATTGTGTCATACCTTGATTTTAAACCCCCGTCAATCTGTGCCCCATACATTTTAAAAAGAGGAAGAATGGTGTACTTAACCTAAATTTTTTAACGATTTTTTTTTATTCCATTTTTGATTTTCTATGTTCCTAAACTCGGCTCTAATCGTTCCCAGTTTTTGCAATCTTTTTAACTTGATTAATCAATTAAAGATACAAAATATCGCAATATGCCTAAGGTTTCAAATGTTTGGAATTACTTCATAAAGAATAAAAGCAGTAGTAAATGCAAACTGTGTTTAGCAGAAATTAAAACCTCGGGGAAGCATTTAAGCAAAATGTACCGTTATATAGTCCATAATGTGATTTTCCCTGCTCTCATTGGTTGAGACTAAACGCTGCTGGTGCGTTTTGCCAACCGTGACTAAAACGTGGTACGTTCTGCCATATTCTTTCCAGCATCATGCAAATGTTTTAAGGACAATGCAGATTACACTAACATGTTATAAACGCCATTATTAAAATCTTTGATTTTTAGGAATGACCACAGAATTATCCTATTTAATATTTGATCGTTTTTTTAGGACCAGCGTGAAATGTTAAGAAAACGCCTATTTTATAAAAATATTAGTCTGACACTTTGTTTGTTTGATTTCCGTGTGTCGTGGCGGCTCAGTAACACAGTATACATTACTTGTACATTTCAAAATAATTTAAAATTATTTTGAAATGTACAAGGTGTGTCAGAACAAAGATCCATACCAAAATTATATTTTTTCTTACGGAACACCAGGTATTTTATTTCATTTTTGGATTTTTGAACATAAAATAAGGCATTTGTTATAAGGGTTTAATATGTTTAAATGCTTTCGTTTTTGAGATATTTAAAGATATTTAAATATGCATGCTATGATAAAAGTTTGTCAACATCTTGTACATTACTTTTCAGAATTAATTTTTGTGCTGACTTTCAAGCCAGAGAAATAAACCTTACTAAAAAATTTGATTGCTTCCTTAAATGTATACAGGGGTATCAAAAATTATGTCATACATAGAAATAACGAAGTTTTTATGTAAAATAAATATTTAAAATAGACCAGCAATTTTTGATACCCCTGTATACATTTAAGAAAGCAATACATTGCTTTAGTAAAGTTAATTTCTCTGGCTTCAAAGTCACCGACCGACAGTCAGCCTCATTCAGTCGATGCATAGCCTCCACCGGTGGCGCGTAGGGCCGTATTACGGAAGATTTTAATTCGATTTTTTTTCTTATATTTAACCATAGGTATTTGTGCTTTTATTTCAATTTTATTTTTATTGATGGAATGGGAAAAGGTTTTCCGGGATGTGCGGCTGCTAGTTGCACAAATAATTCAAAATATAGTTTGTTTAATTTTCAATTCAATTCAAAATTAATGTTCAATTCAAAAGTATATTCACACTTTAGAGCTTTTCAAAACGATGAAGACTACTTATTTGGAGGCTTGCTAATGCCAAGTGACCATTTTTAACATTGAAAATGTTTCTGTTAAGGTAAGGTGGGGCAAGTGCATTTCCGGGGCAAGTGCAAAACATGGGTGCTAAAATCTATTGGTATTGAATAAAGTGCTGCCATCTATTATTTGACATTCTTAATACCTCTGTCACCTATCTAAAACAAAACAGAGTTCATTTATTTGGTTTCGCTGTTGCTTCGACCGTGCAAGTGTTACATGTGTTTTGTAATTTCTGGGTCGAGGTCACGGGCAAAAACTAATCCATTTGTATCTATCGAATCCTGAGTGATTTTTGTACCATTTTTGGTAAGTAAACATGTTAGATATAGTAGTTTACGTTCAACATAATATATTTTTGAATATTTACTGTTTTGACAGGTTTTTGTATTATGCCGCTCTTGCCCCTAGTTTTTTGACGTTGGGGCTAGTGCGAAATATAAACATGGGGCAAGAGCGGCAGTTGCCCCATAATTATTTTTTTGTTTAATTTCAGCTCCACCATGGTGAGAAAATACGTTCGCAAAAGTAACAGAGGAAAAGGATATACAAAAGAGAGCTTGAAAATTGCCCTGACGGCAATAAAGTCAGGACAAATCACTTTATACCGAGCTAACAAAGTTTACAAAATTCCGCTAGCTACCCTTCATGATCACCTCAAAGGCAGAAGAGGACAAAAAAGTTCAAGCTATGGGAGGCCCCAAGATATTTCTCAACATGAAGAAGAAAAACTAGCAACTGGCCTTCGTGCCATGGAGAAATGGGGTTTTGGTCTGTCCCGAAAAGAAGTCTTACAAATTGTAGCCGACTATGTGAAAGAAAACCACTTAAAAACACAATTTAAAGATGGAAAGCCGGGAGAGGATTGGTTTCTCAATTTTAAGCGTAGACATAACCTTTCGCTTAAAATACCCCAAAGTGTTGAATACGCCAGAAAAAAAAATCTTGATCCTTTCTTAATCTACGACTATTTTGATCTACTTGAGAAAACTATCAACGAACTTGGTTTGCAAGAACGTCCATCGCAAATTTGGAACCTGGATGAAAGTAGTTTTTGCACGGATCCATCAAAGACAAAAATTGTTGGACAACGAGGGGCTCCATCAACAAGAACTATTAGTGGACCTGGCAAACAAAACACAACTGTTCTTATGTGCTGTAGCGCAAGTGGCGAAAAAGCTCCTCCGCTCATTATCTTTAAAGGTAAACATGTTTGGGAACAGTGGACTGCTCCACGGGGGACAGAGTTTCCACATACAACCTACGCTGCCACATCTAAAGGGTGGATGGAGACAACTGTATTTAAAAACTATTTCCAAAACAGTTTTCTTAAGAATATTGGTCCAGACCGACCAGTGTTAGTCATTTATGACGGACACGCCAGTCATCTTGGAGCAGATGTTATAAACATAGCTATCGAAAATGGTATTACCATACTTAAGCTTCCACCTCATACCAGCCACATACTCCAACCCCTAGATTTGTGCGTTTTTAAATCACTCAAGACCCGTTGGGATGCCAAACTCGTCCAATGGCAAAGAAAGAATGTAGGGCTTGCCGTAACGAAGAGTGTATTTTCGAAGATGATAGGAGAGATATGGTTGGAAACCAGGCCAGAAATATTAGTAAGTGGTTTTACCAAAGCAGGAATAGTTCCCTTAAATAGGGGTGTTATCAAAGAAGATTCTTTTGATCCAGTAGTTTTCCAACGTTGGCAAAACAACCATAAAGTGGCGAGTGTTCAGGAACCTGACTTAGACCTAAATATGCCTAGCACCTCCATAAACATTAATGAAGTACAAAACATCATCGAGGCAGGGCCAAGTTCAAGCTCGCAAGAAAATATCTCCATAACATCCCAAGAACAAGAAAGGATTCCGGATGTGTCATTTGATGAGCTGTTATTGAGGTCAACCAAACGTGAAAACAATCCTGAATCGAAAAAAAGAAAACGAGTGTGCTTAGGAGCTGAGGTAGTAACAAGAGCTGAAGTTGACAAAATTTTAAGTAAGAATACAACAACAAAAAGTAAGCCAGTAAATAAAAGTACAAAAAATAAAAGTGTTTATAAGCGAAAGGTAACTGAAAGTAGTTCTGACGATGATGGTGATTCTTGGCATAGCGATTCAAGTGAAGGAAGAATAACTGAATTTGAAAATCTAAGTAAAAGTGATTTAGACGAGTTCGATGTGAACGAAGCTAACGACGAACCTAAATTTACCAAAATACAAATTGGGGATTTCGTGTTAGTGAATTTTCCTGGGAAAAGAAAAGTGTACAAATATGTTTGTTTGGTAAAAGAACTTATCAATGACGATGAAGTCGAAGTTACAGGGTTAAAAAGGCTCACAAATAAGTGCCATTTTATTTTGAAGCACGACGATGTCTGCACCGTACCACTGTCGGACATAGAAAAAAAACTGCCCGTTCCAAAAATATCAGTAACAGCTGATTACAAGAAGTATATATTTGAGACAGCTCCTGAAGTGTTTGAGACTTAAAAACTATGTGTTTTTTTTGTATTTATAAACGTTAATAAGATTTGTTTATATTTGTTCGCATGACTGATGTTTCATACTTTCAATAAATATTTTTGCAAAAAAATATCCTAGCTTGTTTTGACTTTTTCCTAAAACAAATTTCGTAGCTTTTTTTCTTCAGTTATTACTCAATGTTGAATTAGAAATATACAATCTACATATATGTAAGAACTCCGCAGTAGCCCCGCATAAATAACAACGCAATAGTAACCAAAATAATGGCATATTATGCTCTTGCCCCGAACCACAGGGGCAAGTGCGTAAGATGTGATAATAAAAAAGAAAAATATGTAAAATTCACATATAATGTATTTTTGTTGAAAAAATAATATTAATAGTTAGGTAAATGATCGCAATAACATGACAAAAACACGGAAACTCGTTACTTTAAAAAAGGCAATTTTCACAGTTAATCAAATATCAACTATGGATATTTCCTTTCGCACTTACCCCACCTTACCTTACATCTTTCCGTTTAATCAACCGAGGCGAATGAGGTGCGCCACCCTGTATAATAATGGTCGATCTTCTTTGGAAACTGCGTGATTTTAGTCCCAAAGCCACCTCCATACAGTCTATCCAATATGGAAAGACCAAAGTAAAAGTTCATTTTGACAAGTTTATTTTGTCACCGCCCTTTCCAGACGCGCATAGCGTTTAAGCGGTCAAAAAGGAAGTTTTCAACTTTGCAAGTTAGACATTTGACAGGATTAATTGGATTGTCAGCAGCTTTTTCTATTTCTTAGCTCTAGAAGGAGATAACTAAAATCTGTTGATAATCGGAGTAATAAATTGTTTTTAACTGAATGTGCCTGTTCTGCTTGTGAGAAGAGAAGATTATTGTCATTATTGATTATTTGAGATTCCACGATTATTCGGCATTTTTGTAATTTTTGTTTTGTGGTTGAGATCCAGACAAAACGTTTCCTTTAAAGGTCAGTTTTATCTCGGTAATTATTTTAACATACCTAATAGTAATAGTGAGTGCACATAATAATCGCACATTGCTAATTTACATAGGTAATATAGTAATATATATTACATATAGATAACCTATAGGATAAGTCCGATTGTAAAAGTAAAACATCACATTCTTTTCTGATACCTATGGAACGATTAGGTATTATACCTGATATTATTACCAGTAATACAAATTATTTTCTTCAACTGATAGGTTCTTGTTATAGAATAAAGACTATCAAAAACATTGAATACCTACGGGATACCTACTGATACTCTGTGCGAGCTCCCAACCGTGCTACCCTGTTCACTCCCAACCAAGGTAGATAAAAAATATATTGAAGATTGCAGTCTTGAGATCGAGTATGGCAAGGAGTATGGATTACCTAAATTGGTAAGCATATAAAATTAAACCTTAATGAAAAATTTAACTTATTTATTTTTAGTTCAAGAAAAGGCATGACAATCCACAACCCACCAAAAACCTGGTAAATGAATTCTGCAAAAACTGAAAACCCAACATGCTCATCATCAAAAGAAAACACATATTACAACCATAAATAGAACGTAATGCAGAGTAGTTTTTATTTATTCTAGTAGGTATTTGAATTCCTTAAACATTTTAAAGGTGTGATAGTCACTACTGCAATTAAATTTATTTGAAAACTGATAATATTTTTTTCTTTTTATTGCTAGAGTTAAATAAATTATTATGTTCCTACACAGTATTTTATTTATAGGTTTTAATGCTTTAAAGTCTAATAATAAATTTTCGTTGTCAACAAAATAATCTAAAAAACTACGAAGATTTCTTATTATAAACTTGAAAGATTAAGATTCGGTTCAAATATACAAATTTTAAATTTTTGGCGTCAGTATATAGGTATGAATGCAACCTACTATATCGATAATGCGCTCATAGTTCGAGTTAGACGCCCGACGCCGCGCCACTAACAGAGTCTTCAAAAATTAACGTTGACCGATCTCTCTCACTTTAGTTATTAGTGTTCTCTCTGCCACCAACCTTATCTTGCATCTTAAAAGAAAACATAGTAATGAAAAATACTCTGAAAATATCAAAAATAAGATAATTCTGAATCTGAAGAATGTTCAAAGGTAAATATTGTGTATTTGTTAGGGATGCACGATCCGATACGATTGTTATGAATATCGATATTTTATTGTTCGATACTCGATATTTTGTATCGATATTCTTAACGCGATATTTTCTACATATCGATACTTTACCCTGTGTATCGATACCATACGATCATCCAAGAAATATGGAAATTTATAGAATAGTGGCGGCATCTAGTATTTAACTGCAGTATTATTTAATCGCTCTTCTTCTATTTAATCACACGCTGTCTCTCTTCCTCTGCTCCTCCTTTTTAGGTTTTACGCAGGTTTTACGGCTTTTGCGACGAGGAAAATAATTGAGGTTATTGTCTGATTATCTGTCAAAGTCAAGAGTCTCAAAATGCAATTCCGGTTAACGCTAATTGGCAACTTTGACATTTCAATTTCGATTATCGTATATCGTAACCGCTAACTGCCGATATTTTAGGGACGTTAGCCAAAGCCGTTAACATAGCGGTACGCATGCGCACTAGCGCAGAAGAACGCAACATTGAAAAATATATAGCGATACCCAATAAAGTCATATAAAGCACTTTCAAATCAAACAACAATACAAAAACCAAAAATCAAAACACTACGCTACGGGCTGTGCTCTCAGTCAGCTGTCAGTTTTCGGTTATCCTATCGTATGTCGGCTCCGAACCGATGAACCGAAAGTCCGAAAACTGTTTTTTTTATCTGTCAAAATAGAGGTTATGGTTACGTATCCGTTAATCGTACCGTTGAATTTTTTTAATGCAACGAAAACTCCCTACTAAATATTGTAAATCTGTAAATCCCCTAGTTAGGCTATTCGGCCATTCGTATTGTGTTCGTATTTTATTTAGCAATTAGCAAGAGCAAGCGTTATTTTCTAACTGTTTTTGTTTTGCACTATGCCTCCTAAAGAAGCAAGGTTTGGAATTTTTTTATAAAAACTGGATCAGGGGGAAAATGTAAGGCATGTCTGATGTCATGAGTCTAAAGAGAAAAACCTCTCGGAAGAAGAAGTAATTTTATATGATTTAATTGAACCCATCGATGCATATAATGCACATACATATATTTATTTATTAATAATGCTTCATAGCCCAGTAAAAAAATGCAAAAGGATAAAAAACCATAATATAAAGACAATAATGAATATAACAACCATAATATATTATGTAGGTAAATGCACATGAGGACGAGAGCGACACCAGTGAAAGAGGTAATGAAATGCAGTTTTTACCTCCGACTTCAAGTGGTGCTTCCTTAGAAACATTTAATTTAGAATCAGACGAAAAAGCAAGATAAACAAATTCTTCGGGAAGTACAGCCCATTCCCATAGCAGCGCCTTCTGGTCGAAGTCACGACAATCCTCAATTACTGGATCATTTTTCTCTATAAACTCATATTTAGGTAGGTACATATAATTAATAATTATTTATTTTTATTACATATTAAAAAAATATAAGTGTATTACTTCCACATCTCCCAGATGGGGAAGTATAGTATCGGCAATAAAAAAGCATTTTTTTTATTTAAATCGACTTAAAATGTCTTAAAACATAAAATAAAAACAATTTCAGCAAAAAAAATGTTTGTGTCTGTCTGTTGGTCGGTCGGTCTGTTAGTTTACGCAATAACTTTTGAAGGAGTTGAGCTATCGACTTGAAATTTTTGTATACAGAGTGTAATTCACAAAACACTGCTTCAGATTGTTTTTGAAAAAAATTCGTTAAGGTGAAGGGGGTGAAATGGAGGGTTGATTTTCCAAAAAGTCGAGTTGTATGTCATTTTCTAATGTTCTATAGTTCTAAGTGTTCGAAAGGGCTACCACTTACAATTGCACGAATTTATTTTTCGCTCAATTTTATTTATAGCTCTTTGAACCTCTCCTTATACTTTCGATTGCATTTTGTACTCTTTATTGTAAATGTTGAGATGAATGTATTTTACTTTTACAAATGACGTCAAATAATGTAGCCCCTTGGCGATAGGTTTATGGACTTCGCTGGACACTATACTGCTCTACCATTTCCAATCCATCTTCCGGGAAAATTATTTGATTGTTTATATTATATTATATTAATTATATTAATTTATTTTATATTATTTGATTGCATTTGATTTTCCGTATTCAATATTTTACACCACGTCATTGTTAAGTTTAAAAGCTTATCAATATTGTAACGATGAATAGATCAAATATTAAAAAAAAACAGAGCCGGACTTGAAATTAGTTTAAATAAATTGTGTTCAAGTGTTTAAACAAAAAACAATATTAAGTGTGGCATATCATTGTACTCAGGAGACCGAGTTCTTTCAAAATCTGAAATAAAAAATGCAGGTCCGTATTTAGAAAAATTAAGTTCGCCTCTGTATCTCAAAATTTATAAGCTAATTTGAAAGTCTAAAAATACTATTAGATAGCGCTAACAGAGTGGCTATGAGAATGTGCAATTAGTTTTTTGATTTTCTAAAAAGTAACAACAGGAAAAAATAAAATTGATTTTCAAAAAAATCAGTTTTTTCCAAAAAACTCAGCATTCTTTGAAAATTTTAAAACTTTTTTGATGACATCTTGGTGAACATCCCATAGCGCAACTTTGCCCCAATTTAACCATGTTCGTATCTATTACGGTTACCGAGATACCAATGCTCGTACCTCAAATTTGTAGCACCCTGTATATAGTTTGAAGAACTATAAATCAATAGTGTGATGTATGCTGAATTTTATACTGAACCCAATTCTGTACAGAAAAATGGTAATGCGATTCCAATTTTAAAGAAAATATTTTTTTAGGATATGCACTTTTTTATATAGAACTTCTTTTTCATAGTCAACTACGACGATATTGGATTTCCTCGCACTAATGGCTACCTACTATTATATACA